AGGGAGATTATCAGTGGTCTTGTATGTCTTCCATTTTCTAATAATTGCTCCCACAGTTGATTTCTTCACACCAAGCTGCTTACCTATTGCAGATTCAGTCTTCCCAGCCTGGTGCAGGTCTACAATTTTGTTTGGTGTCCTTTGACAGCTCTTTGGTCTTGGCCATGGAGTTTGGAGTGTGACTGTTTGAGGTTGTGGACAGGTGTCTTTTATACTGATAACGAGTTCAAACAGGTACCATTAATACAGTTAACAAGTGGAGGACAGAGGAGGCTCTTAAAGAAGAAGTTACAGGTCTGTGAGAGCCAGAAATCTTGTTTGCTTGTAGGTGACCAAATACTTATTTTCCACCATAATTTGCAAATAATTTTTTTTTTTAAATCAGACAATGTGATTTTCTGGATTTTTTTTTTTTTTTTTTCTCATTTTGTCTCTCATAGTTGAGGTATACCTAGGATGAAAATTACAGGCCTCTCTCATCTTTTTAAGTGGGAGAACTTGCACAATTGGTGGCTGACTAAATACTTTTTTGCCCCACTGTATGTTGGATGCCTCAGTCAGAAAACATTGGATACAACAAGCCTTTCAGATTTTGCTTCCCTAACATTAAAGCATATACACACTTTATAGTAGAAATCCAAAATACAACAAGTATCAACCTGAAAATGAGCATAATGTGTGACTATTCAATAACTGTCTGTTTTGTATTAGGTCCAGAGGAGGATCTACCCAGAAAGATGGAGTATCTGGACTTTGTTTGTCACGCCCCCTCTGAATACTTTAAGTCACGTAGCTCCCCGTTCCCCACCATCCCCAACAGACCAGAAAAAGGCTACGTCTGGACCCACATAGGACCCTCCGCAGCGCTCACTGCCAAAGAGTCCGTCAGTGGCAGCAGTTAACACGACTGTGATATGGACTCAGTCTGTTGCTTTAAACAGACGTTTGTACATTTATGTAATATAAGAAAATAAACAATGGTTAACCACAGCCATTACTTCAGATTGAAGGCGACTTGTAAGTTGATACAAAGGAAACCATGTGTTACGAGATAACAAGAATGTTGCTTACATACTACTTTTGTATATAATTATAAAAAAGCTCTTTTCCACCATCCTTTTTGTCTGTGTTTATTTTCAAGAAAATTGTATTTATGCATTGGAATAATAAACTTGTTTGTTTTTGACAATGTTATACCTTTTTGATTTAATTTACTCTTGTAAACGGAATGTTTTTGGCAACATTAGGGTAATCTTTCCTGCTCGGTTTTATGATGATGATTACGTTATGACCTGGTTATGACTCATTGAAAAGTGAGCATCCTTTTCATACTTGGTAAAACAACCGTTTAAAATCCCACAATTTTTTTTTAATCCATACACAGTTTTTACGCTTCTTCAGTTCCCAGTTTAGTTCCTATATGGCTCCAAATATACAAAATGCCACGGAACAGTTTATTGTCATCTGGGGTGTAGCTTTACAATTGCAAGAGGGTCCATCCCAAGCAAGTACTTTGCGTTTGAGAGAGGAAGAGAGAGAAATATAGTTTTACCCCTACTTCTTTTATTTTTGCATTATAAAGTTGTTTGTCTAAAAAAAGAAAACCGGTTTCTCCCACTTTTTGCCTTGGTTTAGAGAGTGGTTCAAGCTACAAGCTCCAAGTTTAACCAAACAGGAAGTGCTCAGCGGTGAATCCTCTGGCTCTGCCTCTTTACTCTTTGATTTCTCAGTCCGACTTTTAAGCCCACCTCGTCTGTGTACGAATTTCTGCGATAGTGTACCGGTTTGTTCCCAAATGACACAACAATATTGCCCCTCATGGATTGTACTTTTTGTTGATCCAATGAAAACGCATGAATATGGGTAAATTCCAGTCCAAACTTGGTGAGGCATTTTATTTCATCGCAAATTGTTTTGGACTTTTTTAAAGCGCTTTTGACTTAGCCTTTAATATTTTCTTTTCTCCTGTTTGGACAGCTTCAAAACGTAGACAGAGTCCTGAAGGTAAGTCAACCAACACAGAAGCTTAATAAACAACATAACTTCTTCTTTTAAAATGGGTTTACATATTTTTGTATGCAGGTGGGAGTTTGGCTTCCAATGTGCTGACCTGTCAGAGAGAGCTCCAGCAAATCCACAAAACTAAACTAACCAAGGTAGGAGACGTTTTTTTGTTTTTGTTTTCGTCTTTTCTGTGATTAAAAAAAAGTCTTCATGTTATTGAAATAACAAATAAGCACAACCAAACTGGAGTATTGCACAAAAACAGATCCCATACTACTTAATTTGGTTTTCTATGACACTAATAATCTGGTATAAATTGAGATATTCTTAGAGCTGGCACAGTGATGAATGGAAACAAAATAATATTAACCACATGATAAACAAAGCCAAGGGCTACAGATTGTATTGATAACATTGTGGAAAATGTACTTAGATTTAAGATTGCTGAACATGAGACAGAGTTTTGCGAGATTTATTTTCCTGAATCAATAGTCAAACTTTGGATTTGATTTATTGAACAACTTCAAATAAACTCTCTACATTTATAATATTTAATCACACATTAATACAGTATTTTAGGGCACATTTATCCTCTGAAACATCTTCTTAAATGCCTGAGAGTTATACATAACATTTATAAAAGTCTGTTCCCATACCTAAGAAAAAAAGTAATAAAAAAGCACAGGCATTCTCGGCCTCTTTATGCTGGTTTATTTCAGTGCCAACAGCTTCATCCTTGTTAAGCCAGTTTTGGGATGAACAGTATTTGCTCACATCACATTAGGAGACATAAAAGGTGTTGGGAGGTGGTCGTATATTTATTCTTCCGCCCTTTCCTCCTCCATCTCTATAAAGAGACTTGCAAGTCTGTGAAGTGCAACACAGCCACCCCCTCAAAACAGCAAGGTCTTTATGCACGACCGGAAAAAAAATCTCCACATCTGGTACTGCTTTCCTTCTGCAGTCGGGCAAACTGTAGGAGGGGGGAGAGGAAAAAGATGTGGGAAAGGGGTGTTCGGTTGCGTAAATGGCATCACATTTACATAGCATTAATGAAGCAATCACATTTGGATATTGAAGACAAGAGAAAATGTCCTCTTTTATTAATTAAACATGTCAAATATAAGTTCCTATTAACCTTAAACACACTGATTGAAGCTGTGTTGTCAGATGTTGTGGTGAAAGTAAACAACCACTTCTTCTCAGCTGGTAGATCTTTTAGTACAACGGCTAAAGTCTTGAGATGTTGTTCTTTTTATAAGTTATGTTGTTTCAAGGTTTATTCAATTTTATATGTATGTTTCACAGTTTGGAAAAAGTATATTCTGCCAAGTTGTTTAAACGCTTGTCGCTTGTTCTGTGCTTGTTAATGGCAGAGATCTTTCTGCCATTCGATTTTCCAGCCTAATTTAGCTTCACACCCCACCGCTGTAGACTGCAAACGGAAAAGACGTGTAATTTTACGAGACATTTTGTATTGTTTTCCGTCAGCTTTATACAATACTATATAAAGTAGTGAGCCAATACAATTATAACCTCTCAATTACCAGCGATGTCAGTGTTGACCATAATACATCCTGAAAAAACCCAAATGTCTACGTGGGTATGCATGCATGTGTACAAGTATAGGCTGAGTCACAGTGCAAACTGTTCATAAACACTCTGTAAACATTGTAACATCCAGGGGAAAACATCATGAGTAGGATTTTGATCTTTACACTTTATATTTGATATAACTAACGCCCAGAAGTGTTTACTTTGACTTCTACTGTTCTGCTTGTTATTTATCCACCTCAGCCCAGTTAACAACCTTAATGTGTTATTGCCTTGAGTCTGCACATGTTATTTTAAAGGATGAAAACAAAGGTTGTTTTTTGTGGTGATATTTCGGCTCAAATTCCCCCTAGAAACCCGATTTGTTTATTTACATACTCCTTCAATTAAAAACAACACAGAACAATCATGCATCGTAAAAACTTAAAGTGACCAAGTGGCAGTATTAAAAGTGCACAACAGAGCATGATATTTAGCAGTATTTAACAATGAAAAATGACTGTAAGATAAATATACCATAAAATAACTTAATGTTGGTTGCAGAATATCCTAATAGCAGCATTGATGATGGGTACAGGGGAATGTTTTTTTCTCCAGATTTGTGGTTATTTAACAGATTAAATAGTTGTTTTATTCATTTGAGTTCAATCAGCTTGTTTTAGTCTTTTTTGTATCCCAAGTCAGAGCAGCATGTTGTCATGAAAATGAGAGTATTAAACAGAGCATCATCTTGTATCTCCATGTTAGACATTACCGCTCAGACAAAGGCAGCTATTGTTCAGTTGACTTTGACAGCTGTCTTTGTGATATCAGGACACATGCTTGGATGATGGTTGAAGTACAATGAGGGCATACAACAAAAAACACGATTTCATCAGGCACCTTTCTGCTACCTCTCACCGTCTTTCACTTGTAATCCAACCCAGCATCAAAGCTTCCCAGCAGGCAGAGCGTATCCGAGGAGAGGGGAGTGTCTGGAGGGAGATTAGTGTGAGTGTGAGGGTGCAACCGTCTTATCACTCTTGTTGTTGCTCATCTGCAGAACGTCAGTGCAACATAAGTGATGGATTGTCCTGTTGACAGATAAGAAAAGTCTTGCTGCTACTTTTTCTTGTTTTGACTTGTTTCTAGAGTTTTAATTCACTGAAATGGATATTACTTTTAAGGTTTATAGTTTTATAATGGGTTGTTATAGGTCACTTAAACGTTTGAACATGGTGTTACTTATGCCGCTTGCCTCCAGGAAATCTGGCTTTTAGTCAATTAGTCAACTAATTACCCATTTTGGTTTTTGTCGACTTGGATTCCTTCACTCGGTTAGTCATTTCTTTATACTTTGTAGTCATGCTGAGTGAAGTATTAGTATCAACAAACTATAACTGTGAATTCTTAGTGTAACACAACTCAAACCTCCTTTAGTCAAGCACAGTTCTGCTGGCTTTTTGGTTTTACATTTAATGATCATATGAAACATCAAGACAAGTCAGTTACATGTGATGGGGGGGGGGGAAAGGTCAAGATGTCGGCTGTTAAAGGAGGAGTTCCAGCTGGAAATGTCCAAAGTAAACTTCCTTCTGATGCCTTAATGTCTCATTTATTTGATTTCTGCAGGAAAATAATGAAAGAATCCCATCACTGTCATATCTGATACAAATGTAATTGTCTTTAAAGGAACTGAAGAAGAGTCAGTGACAGTCTTTTAGAAAGACCCCACAGATGTTCAAGGATTGGCTCAGCATTGCTCACATCTGGAGCTCAATCTCAACACTCATGGGACTGAAAAGCCCGTATTGGCTTTCTCTCTGCCTTCCCTCTCCTACATGTGTGCTCTCTGCTAATTCAAATGTTTGTGTTTTACAGAATTTGTATGTAGAATTAAGGGCGAACAAGTCTGACCATAAATGCAAACTGAAAGGTGAGTAAAGAATTGCATCATTGTTGTTTCAATGTTGTTTTACTTCCATGCTGACACTGCTATTAATGCATGCTACTATAAAGGGCTTCATTAGATTGTGTAGATTTTGTGCATTATCTGAGATGTTGAAATCAAATGCATCTGTTTTATATTTGTGTGAGAAAACTTCGACCTTTGGATGGACAGCGTTCTGTTTCCTCTCTGCTGCCAAACCTTTATTGAAAACAGAGCTTACAACAAGGAATACATTCATTGCAGAGAGTCTACACGGTTTGTTTTGAAATGGGCTTTTATGTTCTCGGCCCCTGCAGCCTGGAAATGCGTGCTAACAGATTTTTAGCCAGATAGGCCGACCCCTATGAGAGCTTTTACAAATTAAGTGGCGGTTTTGGGGGTTTATTCAATTGGAATTTGTAATTGCTTCCTTTGCAACATCTGTTTCCTCCTTTCTGTTTCTCCAGGAAAATTATTCTGTGAGTTCATGCTGTGTGTTTTTCAATATTTGTGTTTGAAACACTGCCGCTATTTTTGCCTGTGCTCCTTTTGGAAAGCAACTTTTGTAAGATTTCAATTGGCCTTTACCTGGTTAAATGAAGGTTGAATAACATATTTGAATAAACTATAGGTTTTTCAATATTTGTGTGTTTGAAACACTACATTTCCGCCATCTTGGCCAGGTCTCCTTTTGGAAAAGAGCTTTTGTAAAATTGCAATGGGACTGGTTAAATTACTTATTTTAATAAACATAGGTACCATAAAACTGTGATTCTCCTGGGATATGATAGTTTAACCGCTTACTGTGTGTTGTTTAGATGTTCGACCACCAAAGAAGACAGCTGATAGAGGAAACGGCATCCACCTCCAGGTCAATAAACAGACACAGAAGAAGAGCAGCCATGCTGGTGTGAGTTAATGTCCATATCTCTGTAACATTTGCAAATTCTACATAAATGCGTGTACTGATTACTGTGAGATGTGTTCGGGAGAACTCTTTGCAAACTCATCTGATACTAATCAACAAGGTATTTTATAATTGCAAATGGTTGTTTTACCAGTTCTGAAGTCTCTATTGGTAAACACCCACACAACCCAACTCAATGCAACCTTTAATTCTCCCTAATTAAATACAACACTGTAGTAAAATGTTTTTTATAGCAGTAACAAGCTTGTTTTCTGCACATGCAGGTCACAGAGTGTAACATGGTGTCTGATGAGGACACTCAGCAGGAGTGGGTGTTCACACTGTACAACTTTGACAACAGTGGCAAGGTCACCAAAGAGGTAGGTTTGCATATTGTTTAAGTAAAGGTGGTTTTAAATAGCTTGCCTTGTACACTGTGAAAATGTGTGTGTGTGTGTGTGTGTGTGTGTGTGTGTGTGTGTGTGCATGTGTGCATGTGTGCGTGTGTGCGTGTGTGTGTGTGTGTGTGTGTGTGTGTGTGTGTGTGTGTGTGTGTGTGTGTGTGTGTGTTCTGCAGGACATGTCCAGCTTGATTCGCTCCATCTATGAGGTACTAGAGACATCAGTCAAGCCAAACGGAGGCCCACCACCTCTGAAGATAAAGCTTCTTGTAACTCCGTCAGCTGACCCAGAGAAGATCTTACTAATAGGTGAAAAGAAGGAGAGAAAAACTGTGGATATTAAAGAAACACTTTTCCACACAAAATGACAATTTGTAAATCAATGACTCACCTTGACTTTTCGAAATATTTTTCCCCCACATTCTTCTTCTGTGAACAAATATTTTAAAAGGTTTAAGCTGTGTAGTTTTACTGTTGTTAAACCTGTGCCCCCTTTACTTCAATTCATTAGGACTTTTTCTTTGATTCGTTTGTTCATCGTGGAAGCATGCAAGAACATCTAATGTATATGAATAATCCAAGGTAACACTCCATTTAACTCAATTCAAAACAGCATCACAGGAGAAGACAGCATCCCAGGAGGCAGGGAACCCAGTAAGAGGACTTTATTGTGTGGATGAAAACATTGAGCGCAGAAACCACTACCTGGATCTAGCCGGCATTGAAAACTACACGTCCAAGTTTGACGGTACAGGTATAACTTGTACATAACACAATACAATCCCTCCTTTCCCGAGCTGTTGTATTTTAACCTCTGGTGTTACATACGATTAAAGTCGTTCTTATTCCTGTTTTTTCCAGAATCCGCTACCCAGGAGCCCAGTCAGGATACTTGCTCAGCTCCCAAGCACCGCCCTGTGGTCAGCACAGTGAACTGCATGTCTCCTGGAGGCCAATACACCCCATATTCCCTGAAAAGCAAGGCCATGGGAAAGGACAGGCATGGAGGTGATAGAAAGTCCTGCAGGTTACATGGCCAGCACCCTGCTTCCTGGTGCCATCCCTCTCAGCCTGCAGCACACAGCGCCCTGCAGCGCAGTCACAGCAGGAGGCTGCGCACCAGGGGACACGAGGCTGCCTCCAGACCCCCGCCTGAAATACCTTCAGACAGTCATCCCTCCTGTGGAGCCCCTGCTTCTCAAACCAAGAGACATGAGCACCATCACGAGCACCATCATCATCATCACCATCACTACCACCCTTCGTAGAAGCATTTTAAACACATATCAGACAGGTGAAGAGTAAGTATGCTGAAATCACAGCTGACTGCAGGAGAGAGGAGAACCATTTTAAAGTTTGGCTGCAGCACGATGATTGGCTGCTGGAGGTTGAGGTGAAATGTAATAGGTTAAAGAGAACTGCAGCTTGGGAATGAATTAATATATACCCAGTCTTCCTGAAATAACTTGCGCTGAGCTTCATATAATCATGGGTGCATGGATCCGAGGTTGTTGTTCTATTACTGCTCTCACATGTCACAAGTGATCAGTGACAAGTTTTTCTTTTGGAATTTAGATGTTGTTTCTACTTATCTCTTTGGCAAAAGTTACAAATAGACAGTGTTCCCGACGAAGGACAGGAGACAGCTGTTGCTATTATTAACCTCAACCCTCTTACCCACCACGCGACCCCTCTGCCTCACAACAGCTAGCCTGGGTTTAGACAGGTCTACAACTCTGGGACAGACGGCAACAGAGGAAATAACAAAGCGTCAAAACAGTGACCTGCAGAGCTGTTAGACTGCAGCCCTCAACAACAACCACGAATCTGACGAAACAAACGGGATAAAAACAGGGAACCATGAAGACACTGCGGTTTATTGCGGCTGAGGGCTTCGTGCAGAGTGGTCCCAGTGCTCTGGAGAACCTAAACTGCATGTCTTTCAACCTCTACCCGCTCCTCTTCAAGGCCTGTTATCTGCTGGAGCAGGCGGACATGCTGCGTGCTTTGGTACAGACATGGCCTCTTCCTGTGCTCGACTTACAGAGGCTGCTTGGAGCCACAGCCGACTGTGAGACAGACCTCACCTCCCGTACCTGCCGCCTCTGTCTGGAGGCCATTATAACTGGCTTAAAGGTACTTTAGTCAAATATGCCTTGTCCTATTTATACTTGTGTTTAAGGGCATGTTCCTGTGTCATGTTTTTCAGTTCTTCTCCTTGTGAACTAATTGCCTTAAAGCGAAGAAAATATTCCTAAATAATTAGCGTAGTATCCCAATATTTATGTGTTTTTTTTCAATTATAAATAAGTTAAGTTAATGGAAGCCATATTTACCCAGGTTCACCACAGAGGCATGCAAACACATTTCTTAGTTTTCTTCACAAATTCAAGATAACAGGGTGTGTCAGTGATATTAAAATGTTCATTTTGTGTTCCTTTAAACACATCTGCTTTAACTTGTTATTGGCTCATGATCGTGAATTGTTATAGGTTGACACTTTCAACTAATTTACACAATTTCCCTTTTGTTTTCTATAGGATTATGTGCTGTCTCCTCCAAGAACCTACGCCAAAAACCTGCGTGTGGTGGACCTGACAGGCCTGAGGGATGTAGAGCACCACACCTGCCCCTGCCGGTCCACCCTGGGTCGATGGGGAAGAACCAAGCTCCTGACACAAGTGTGCTTCGAGACTATGGTGACCATGCAAGCCAGCGAAGTGCCACAATCTGCCTTTGAAACCTCTATTGAGGTCCGTCTGAACGGCTTTGTCACGGGCCGCAGCTATGAGCTGGTGGCTCAGGCCTTCCTCGTCCTCCGCTACTGTCCTCTGAAGATGCGCTTTGTTAGTTTTCGGGCTGACACCCTCACTCTCAAGCAGCTGTTTTATGTTCTTCGTCTGGCAGAACCTGACAGCATTGAAAAGCTGGAGGTAGTCCACAATGTTCCCCTGCAGGCTGCACACTTGGAAGTGCTGCTGTCCAAGGTGGAACTTTCCAGATTGCAGTCTTTGACCCTTCCGGCCGGGGCGTTGGATGTCAGGAGGTTGGGCCCTGATGACGACATCATGTCCATCATCGGGAATCTGCTGGCCCAACTGAGCAGCCTGACCGAGCTCTATGTTGGCTTCTCCACTCTAACTGGACACATACGCAGATTGCTTAAGTGAGTAGGCTAAAAGGACAGAGGGAGAGACGGAGAAAGACAACAAGGTGTTCTTGTTTGGATGAGGACAAGATGGAGGCTCACATGCACCTCACAGCATCAGGAGCTTTAATATAGCTCAAAAAGAATCACCTTTCTCCGGGGTCAAAACACGTTCCAGCTTTAAGGCTCTTGTTTAGCAATGGAAGGCATTTTGTTTTTAAAATTGCTGACATGATGCCAGGATGAGAACAGACAGCCGCAGGTGCTCTTACAGTCAAATGGAAAAAAGCAGGAGTACAAAGCACTGAACTGTCAATCAAAGTCTGGTGTAAACCTCACAATGAAAATGCCTCCCTTATAATTAAAATGATGCTTCTTCAATAATAAGGGGGATTCAACCAAAATAAACAAAAAAGCCAGTAAAGCCTGCAGGCAGTTAGGCAAGCGTTAACCCTTGCACAAATTGAATTCCGATTTGTCTTTATGCAGGTAACCTTGTTAAAACAGAAATGCTAAAATCTTGCTTTAAGTTGCCAAAAGACCAGAATGCCCTGGGTGTGCAATGATCTACCTCACTTAAGGTCTAAAAGCACACGGACAAGTTATCTGCCTGCTTTCCACTATATCAAAGTTGTATTCAGAAATGTCTGGTATACCACTGGGCTTTATCTGATACAAATTCATTCTCTTTACCCCTCTTTTCTTTCCACAGTCCTCTCAACACACCGCTGCAGTGCTTGGATGTGGCCAACTGCTGCCTGAACCGTGTGGACATGACCTATCTGTCCAACAGCCTCCACAGCGAGTTCCTGGTCAGCCTGGACATCAGCGGACACGACATCTTCAGATCTTTCTACTCCTGTTTCGACAAACTGCTCGGCCGCTGCTCAGCCACATTGACCAGCCTGGCCGTAGAAGAGTGCAACATCGAGGACGAGCACATGGACGACTTCATTCACACTCTGGCTCGCTGTCAGATGCTAGAGGAGCTCAGACTCCTGGGAAACCCTCTGACCTCTGCAGCCCTGTACAGGTTATTCTCTATGCTATCTGCAGGCTTTCCTAACTTAAAATACATCGAGGTACCAGTTCCCCGAGAGTGCTACTCAGAGGATGTCACTTACCCTCTGGAGGATTCAGACCTCCTGGTGTACAACAACGAGTTGTTTCAGGAAGTCAATGCCCAGTTGATGGGGATCCTGGAAGGAGCAGGGAGAGGGAGTGTGGAGGTGTGCACCCCTCTCATGGGGGCGTACGACCCAGATATTAACGAAACCAGCAACGAGTTGGGAGTGTCCATGCTGCAGTCTTATAACAACGTCCTTGGGGACTTTATTAGTAGCATAACTGAAGTGGACAACAGGAGATCACAGGCTCAGAAAAATGCTGAATAGATTTGACTGTGGAGAGGTCAAGTATACAGAAAAGGGATATGAACTCAGATTGTTGAGATTAATCTAGACATTGTGGAAAGCACAACTATTGCAGAAATAATTTGTTGACTGGTCGAAAATCCCAGAAACGTCTTCATTGTAACTAGTAAACTATTATTAAGCTATACTATATTTGCCGCGTTTTATACCTTTTAGGGTGCAGGTGGGGACGTATTTAAGTTTCAGAGGAAAAAAACACAATTGGAATACAAGTTTTTTTATGTACTTTACAAGAAAAAAATGTATTAACATTATTGATCTGTCCTTTGTTTTTTTATGTTAAGAAAATGGTGATATCAGTTAGATTTGGTTCGGTCAGAGTTGAGAAACAAAACATCCATGTTTACGCTCTAAATCAAAGCCTTCCTGACGCTGTTGCAAACTTTCGTCACTGTTCCTATTCATGACTGAAGGGAAAACCTGAGTACAGATACACTAGACTTGATTTATCAACACCATATACAGGGTTCCAAGTCCAGAAGTCGTCTCAACAGAAGATCATGGTTTTCTTCTCAGCACTTCCTATACGCCTAACATGTGTGCAGAGCAGATAGATGTGGCTACTGTAGCGGTTGTGGTAGATACTTGAAGTTTGTCTAGGATTCTTTCTAAACTGTATTTATCATGTCTATATTCGTGTTTAAATGCTGTATATAACTGGAACAGCATAACTTTGCAACAATCAGAATAGCAAGTATGCTTGTAATGGTTTCCCTTTGTCATACCAATAAATCAAACCTCCAAATACTTCAGCCTACTATCCATTATATTTATTTAAAAAAAAGACACTTACACATCTTCTAAAATGTACAATTTCTTTAATGAGCAATGTTTTATATAGGTAAGGTTTTCATTTTAAATACTACACCAGGGGACAATCATGCACAGACTGAGGACGAGGACTTCAGAACCATTTAGTTCTTCATCCATTCCTCCTTTTCTTTCCTCTCCTGGACCACCTCCTTCAGGTAAGGTGACAGATATTGGACATCCTAAAAGGAAAAGATATGACAAATGAAATCACCATTATCAGAAGAGTAATAATTGTTTGATTAGATAGGTGTAATGCATTATCATTCAATCATATCCAACCCTATAGTTTATTGATCCTTTTTATACTTACACCTGATTATATAAATAATTCCTTAATTTTTGCATCTAGCTACAAATAGATTTAGCAGGCAAGTCTCTAGTAGGTAAAGTATGTATTACAAGATTAAAAAAAGGGAAATGCTGCACCTCTTCAAACTTTGTCCACTGCTCTTTAGGGAGGACCTGCTGTTTCATGGAGAGATCCATCGCTCTCTTCACCCTGAACACCCTGTCGTTGTACTGGTTCTCTGGGATCCTCCTCAGAGCCTCCGACACATCCGTATCCTCATAGAGCGTGTCATCGCGCATTAAACCTGTGAGAGAAAAAAATGCTTTAACAAGCTGGTAAAGTGTGGGAAATCCATTATAAAATGGCCTACACTCATCCGAGGCAATGATGTTCCCCCCTGTACATTTAAAACAAGTACGTTTATACTCTGACTATTTGACCAATATATATTGACTTACCCAGCTTGTTGAAGCCGGCCATGTTGTAATACCATTTGCGGAACCCCATTAGGAGCCTGCCTGTTGCTACTGTGAACATGAGAAGAAAAGACAGAAATTATTATTCACAAACCTTAATTTAAACAAGAGCATAATGGCAGGTGTAAGGCTTGGATCAGATTTGAGCTTAACAGCTTAAAAAGGGATGCAACTACCAATTATATTATTTCATTATTGATTAAACATTTATGCTACAAAATTCAGGCAATACAGGATTCTTAAATCCCAAAGCGATTTGTTAAAACATCTTGTTTTGTGAGTCAGAATCTAAAATATGTTGAGATTAATATGATATTACACCTAAAACTAGGCAATCTATAATTGAGAAGTTGAAACTTAAATTGTCCATTCATCAAAAATAGTTGGCAATTATTTTCTGTCAATTAACTTGTTTTAGCTCTTATGCAAACCCGTCTGTGTAATAAGATTCACTGATTTCTTTAAGTCTGCTATTACTGTGTATTGTATTGGCAAAAACATTATAATTGTTTCATTATTCATATGCATCAGATAAAAGGCCCTTTTATTCTGTAACTATTCTGCTTGCTTGTTATTTTTATTACATTTAAAAATTATCTTAACGTCTTGTATTTTTAAGACCCTGTAAAGCACTTTACAAATAAACTTTCATAGCATTCACTCAATATGAATTCACTTATAAATTATGTGACTCACCTTTGACTTACAGCGTATTAACTATGTTCACACACTACACTATCTGATAAAGACAACAAGTCAAGGATGACAACAATAACGAAAGATAATTTGCCCTTCTGTGATCAATAACATCTTCAAGAGCATTTAAAGACAGCAACACATCAGTGGCTGAAATGTTAAGAAGCTAACCGTAGCTGACCCACAGTACGCCTATAGATGGTACAGCAAAAAAACTAACAACGCGATAACAGTTGCTGGTTAAGACATTAGTAAAGGTCTAATCAGTACAAGGACAGCAGAGAGTGTCTAGTACGTAAATAAATGTGCCAATGTGATCAGCATTAGCAGCTAGCGCTATGCTAACTTCAGATAACCCTAGCCTCAGTTAGCACGGGGACACTAGAGGACACACACAAGTCAAACGCGTCAAAGGCGAATACAGTCAGACAAAAATAAGCACGACATAATATTATCGGTTACAATACTATATACATTACGCAATGACACTACAACACACAATGTAGCTTAAGTTTAAATCACAAATGATAATGTAAAAAGTGCTGTTGATTTACCCGGTGCCCTCGACGCCATTTTTACCACTCAGAACTGAGAGCAACCCTGGAGCAACCGCGGTGAGTTATTCTTCTTCCTCTTCCTCTTCTTCTCTCAGTTTGTGGCGGATTGCAAACAACTTAAGGTGCATACCGCCACCTACTTTACAAGAGTGTGTATCACCATATCATCCTATCAACACTTGTGGAATTATACCACTGTATTTACGTTGTTTTAAATTCTTCCAATCAATCCTGTTTCACTCAAATACTTAAGAATGGCCTTCCTGGTATCTCTTACCCCCTCACCTTCTGTTCCCAGTATCCCCATCAGGCTCCACTCCCTTCCTGCCTCTCTGACCCTGTCTCTTAGTTTTCCCCTCTCTGTTTTGTACATGTTGCAGTGTAATATGATGTGTTCCACATTTTCTTTCACTCCACACCCCCTGCATTCTTCAACTTCGCGTTTTCCCATTATAAACATTGCGCCGTTTAATCCTGTATGATCCAATCTATCTGAGTCTAGTGATGATGATCTCCTCCCGTCTGTTCCTTTCTGGATAGATCTTTGTTATGACTGATTTTTGTAACTTGTGGTATCTCCTCCCTTTCTGATCTTCCTCCCACCTTTTCTTTCATATTTCCGTACCCTTCTTCTTAATTATTGCTTTTCCTTCTCCTTTTCCAAGTGACACTGGTATTGCTATTTCCTTTTGTAACACCTCTTTTGCTAACTTATCAACATGCTCATTCCCTTGAACCAATGGCGTAGCCACCATAGGCCCACCCAGTTTACTCATTGGCCCAACCTGAGAAAGCTTCGGTGTCATTTAAAAAAATATATATATATATATATAGGGGAGAGTGGGGTAATTTGTGTTATCTAGAAAACCATAGAAGAAGTTGGTCATGTGACCACATATTTTTGAAGAGGCATCCATTTCAATCATCCTGCAAAGAAGAGAGACACATGGCTTGAGAGGTAAGCACATTTAAGTTCAAAAAACAATTTTTTGCCCTCCAAAGTAAAATTTCTATGATCAAGGTTTTTTGATTGCTGTGTTTGAACAATTTAGAGAACTTTGAAAACAGTTCACACATGTTTTAGTGCTTTAGTAAGCTACACCATGAGTCTATACAGTTAGCATGATGCTAGCTCAAAACAGCTGGGGGATGCATTTTTTTCAAAATGGTGGGCTTGGGGTGATTTGTGCCAAAGGGCCTGGGTACCCAAACTTATGATTATTTACTATATATTACTTTATTGTATTTTATTGTTATTGTACATTGTATTCTTACATTTGATCACTAAAACTATGTGACATTCTTAATTTTAGACCAAAATCCATCATGCCACGCAAATACAAAAGGAAGACAGACAGGGTTTCAACTCCTCTTGAGGAGTTGGAAAGAGCAGTGAAAGAGGTGCAACAGGGGAAGACCATACGTCTTCTTCCCTTGCCAAAAGCCACATAAAGAAAAAAGAAATTGTAAGAAAGAAAGTGAAAACAAGAATCGTGACCGACACACCTGAGAAGATGGAGTTGGAGAAGGCTCACAGAGAAAAAGAAGATAAAAAGGCTGAACAGGAAAAGAAAAAGAATTAAAGAGAGTAGAAAAGGGCTCTGAAAGCTGCAAATCAAACCAAAACCAAGAAAAAAACAGCTGTGTACAGTAGCTCAGAAGAAAGCTCCACCACCAATGATGAGGCAGAAGATGGCCTGGAGAAGACACACAGCAGAGAAAAGGAACGGGCTGAAAAGAAGAAAAGGAGTGAAAATAAGAAGGGGGCTCTGAAAGGGTCAAAACCAACCAAGCCCAAAAAGAAAGTGCTCTCCAGTAGCTCAGAAGAGAGTGACTTTCCGATTCCGCTTAGCGATGCCACTCATTATGAGAGTTCAGATGTCCAGTGATGATGATGATGGTGACAAGGATCTGTCTGCTGGTGACTTTGTCATTGTGAAGTTTGCAGGTAAAAAATCCAAATCCTATAACTATGTTGGATTGGTGGAGAATGTTGAAGGTTACGAGATCAGTGCAAAGCTTCTGAAGCAAAGTTGTAAGAGGTCTGTTGATGGAAACCCCATCTTCACATTTAGAGAGAATGATGAAGGAGTCATCCCTAGAGGTGATGTGCTCAAGAAACTACATTTTTTCGACTTTGAACTACGGACAGAGTGGGAGAGGGAGGCCAGGTGTTAATTATGTTTAGTAGGGTCTAATGCAACTACTAACATACCCGTTTAGATACTTTTATAGAATTTTAGCTTATGTTCCTAATAATAATATTTGAATCCAGAAATTGTGGGCTATAGTGACACAATATGTGGTAAGTTTGTAGAAAATTCTTTCAACTATGAACTCTCTCGGCGTGTTCGGTCGACTTTACAACTGAAATAAAACGTAATTAGAAGTCATGTTTGATTTGCAATCTCATGAATTATAATAAACTACGCATATTATCGACTACTTGCAAGTTTTGTTTGTGAAAACGGGTTGAAGGTGTATGCAAAAAATTTTACGGAATTATTCGTGGCGATTGAAGTACCTGCATTCACTTAAGAGGCAGTATCCACCAGCACACACAACGCCCTAGGGCGACTTGCCAGCTGACAACACACTGCAGTTTACGACGTCGACGGTTCGCTACCACCCCCGTCGTAAAAGAGAGGAGAGGAAGCCAATCCTCGCAGGTTCAACGCAAGGATTCGATTTCGCTCAAGATCTTTTCTCAAACCTTTGCGAGGAAGAGGCATAGGCAAGATCTTTACAACTTCGTAGTGAGATGTAACGGACGGTGACTCCTGAAGGCCCAGTAAAGTTAGCCCAAATCTTTCGCAAGGATTCGATTTACCTGATAAGCTGGCGTTGGGATCACAACACACGACGAACGAAACAGAACTAGACGCTAGATTGGTGCGGGGCAAGTAGAACGTTATATTCTTTTAATTTCACATTACCCGAATACTGTTATGTTCGAGGGGACTTTATACTAGTTTTACACCGTAATACTTTATGTTCAAGGGGACTTTATTGCTTTACCCCGGCTAATACTTTTTGTTCAGGAGACTTATTTTATAAAAAAAAAAACAAAAAAAAAAAAACAAAAAAAAAAAAAAAACTCTATTTACAACGCGTAATACTTATTTTCAGAGAACTACCTTTATTATTTACACCGTAATACTTTATGGTTCAGGGGACGTTTATTTATTTTATACGCCTAATAACTGTCTATGTTAGGGGGCTTTATTTATTTACACCGGTAATAACTATTATTTTCAGAGAGTTTATTTATTTACGACGTAATACTTTATTTTCGAGACTTTATTTATTTAACACCCACAACTACGTTTAATTTATCAGGGTACTTGATTTTAATTACAATAATTTACAATGTAAACATAGTAATATAACAAACGGAAACGAAATAAATAAAGTCTTGATATAAAGTATTGGACGGAATAAATAAATAAAGTATCCGTATAAAAACATTATCATTACTATATATATATAGTACATCGCGCTCTCACCCGCATTCATCACGGTTAAAAATGAATTTCACGGAAATTTCGTTCCCTATGTCATTACCGGAGGTTCTTGATTTTATACGATCGCTATATAAATCCTACAACACGGTAGGGACCCTTAGTAGTGACAGCTAGAATTTCATTTGACAAACTCTCATTATATCGAAATGCTTTCGTTTTTCACCCGAAAACCCGTGTTGACGGACCACGCCCGCCATTCAACCGTGGTCAATCTCGTTATTGTGACCCCATTTTAACGACGGTAACTATTAACTTCCATTTTGTCTAGTGTAAAATTCGATGTTTTGCTTATTACGACGGCATTAATTTTTCGCTTCTCGTTAAGTTATGTTTCTAGATAAATAAAATTACAACCATCAAACACTTTCAAACCATCCCATGCCGCCACCTAAGTTTCGCGGTGAAAAGACCACCACCCTATTGTCTACCGGACCAACCCCACCAACCTCCTGTCCCGACAAACCGATTCGTAGGGATGAACGCAGGTTACGGACGTCAGCCTTAGTACTTGAGGCAAGGAAGACGGAACGAAGGTGGTTCAAAACACCACGACGGTTAAACGAATTTGTTCCGGATCGCGGTGTACTTGTGCTATGAGTCTTGTTTAAATTTAAGGTTTTACGTCGTGATAGTAGACGTTTAGTAGACGAGACTTTAAGAAAGAAGTGTCGTAAGCCGGGATGATGACTTTGTAGGGTGAACGAGCTTACGACGCCCCCTTAACCCTGAGTATGAGCGGAACGACCGCAGTGGTGGTTCAAAAAA